GTATTTTCAATATTTCTATAATTTTGCTGCAAACTACCTTTCAAATATACCAAATATTACACTTAGCTGCATTATTAATAATAATACAAAGAATTACTGTTTTTTCTTCACAGCTCAGGAGAATGACTATGCCAATTGAGCCATGTTTGCTCTCCACTCATACATTACTTACTTATTTTTTAATAGTTTTTGAAGAATAAAGTAATAGAAGTTAGTTGTATTAAAACGAAGTGATCTAGTATGCTGTGGCAATCATAAATAAATNTCTTCACAGCTCAGGAGAATGACTATGCCAATTGAGCCATGTTTGCTCTCCACTCATACATTACTTACTTATTTTTTAATAGTTTTTGAAGAATAAAGTAATAGAAGTTAGTTGTATTAAAACGAAGTGATCTAGTATGCTGTGGCAATCATAAATAAATAATTATTGGTTTCAACATGATGGAGCTCCGTCACATAATGGTTTATGAGTAAGAGATTACCTGAATCAAAACTTCCCAGGCAGATGGATTGGACGAGGTGGACCCATACCATGGCCTCCTAGATCACCAGATCTGAATAGATTTTTTCTTTTGGGGTTATTTAGAAGAAAATATTTATCTACAGCTAAATCCATAAAATGTAGTAACCCGTATGCGCGCTGCTGTCACGTTAATAGAAAGAACTTTTTTAAACACATTTTGTAAAAACAATTTCTATTATTTAAGCTGATTATGTTTTTGGTTTATAAGTTTTTTCCTCTCCGTTTTATAAAATATTATAGTTTTTTGAAAAAATTTTTTAAATAACTCAACAAAGAAAGACAATCGGAAAATATCCATATCTTGATTTTCGACTTGTTTTTGTCTCCTTAATCAAATCCCAGAAGGACGCTCGTCACTTTTGGGACACCCTGTATATATTCTTATATTCGTAATGTACCACATTTCTGATATATACTAATGAAACACGTCTTTACTTCAGTGACCTGTATCATTTTAGTATAATTAAATATAGATAATATCGTTTTGGGTCGAATTTCTAGGTATCTTATCACTAAACAGAATCTATGATATATAAAATGTTGAAAAATTATGTAAATGACGCAAAACTGATAATGACATTCTTTGACATTCTAAAATATCTAAAAATATTGTTGCACAAAGTACGAATAGATTAATTTGGTCCATATAGTGTATGCTACTGATTGTTCGTTTAAATTAATAACACCTATAAAAAAATTATGGTAATGGATTTAATTTTTTTGAATAAATTATACGACACTTTCAGGCATCAATTTTGTCTACTTTATGAGGCATACACTAGATATATGGTGAAATTACATTTTATTTGCTGTTTTAAATTAATTATATTTTTGTAAGTGTTTAAAAAAAAACAAAATTTATCAATGTTTTGATTACCTACATGTTTTTACATTATTACCGCTTATTTCTTATATCTATTATCTACTATAAACAGAAATGGAAGATGAACAGCATGTTTTAAATTCCTTGCGATTTCCCTTAGGAAGTCTTACAATTAGTTATTTCTGAAAACAAGACTATAGTTTTGTTATACTTTCGAAAACATATTTATGTATAAATTAGATGAGATTATCTTTCATATGTCACAGCAACGACTGGATGGGTAGGCAATGATTGCAAATTATGGACATGACAGGATGGACATGTCAAGTAAAGGTATGATGGGCATTTAGTTCCGGTAAATGAAAAACAATGAGGCTATTATTATATTCTTTTTGAATAATTCGAACTACATAATACAATTACTATCTGACTTATGAAAAAGAGTTTCTTGTCATTAATGTCAAATGAAATATCTAATAATGATTTAAAGTAATTATTCGAAGAAGCCACCGTTGATACTGATTCAGTTTAGACAAGGTTTTCTTCGAGAGATCTTCGAGTTTGAAACAAGATATTGGAATTGCGTCTGACTTCGTTGGCAGCGATTTGTATTCTTTGCCACAACTATTCACGAGAACCAATAGATTCTTTGTAAACTATATCTTTCATTGACACCAAATAAAAAAATCATGATGATTGAAGTCCGGACTTCTGGGTGGCCAAGCAAAAATGCTTCCACGGCTTGAAGAAGTTCCACTTTATTTAAGAAGAGACATGTGGTTCATACACGACGGAGCTCCACTGCATTGTTTTCGGCCAGTGCGTGCATATTTAGATGCAGTTTTTCCAAATCGCTGAATTGGCCATGTTAGCATTTTTACGTGGCCATCCAGAAGTCCGGACTTCAGTCCTCTTGATTCTTCAATTTGGTCTCAAATAGTTTACAAAGAATCTATTGGTTCTCGTGAAGAGTTGTGGCAAAGAATACAAATAGCTGCCTACGAAGTCAAACGCAATCCCAATATGTTGTTTCAAACCTGAAGATATCTCAGAAAATGTTGTGTAAAGTGTATCAGTGTCAACGGTGGGTTCTTCGAACAATTATTATTTTAAATCATTATTACGTATTTCATTTGTTTTATCATTAATTGTTGTAATAACATGAAGAAACACTTAGTTTGTTTCGCTTTTAATTTCTCGAATTATCAAAACATAGTGTTCGTTAAATCGATTTTTCTTGAAAACGGACCGAGGTACCGAAATGAAACAAGAGTACATAATCAATGGAAAAATAATTGCTCTTTCAGGTTTTGAATCAAGTTTAATGTTAGATGTACAGGCTAAAAAGTTATTATATTAAAGATTTAAATTTCCGGTAAAATTGGTCGTAAGTGGCGCCCTCTACGAAAAACGCTGAAATTGCAATACGCATCTTATTCGTCGCTTAAAAAAACCTAGTTTCACAAATTTTCAAGTTCCTAACCTATATATTTTCCGAATAATCGCAAGAAAACGATCTAAAATTTTAACTTTCAACACCCTGTATTTCCGAAACTGTCAACTTTCGGATAAGGCATATTTGCACCAATGGTCACCATTTCACGTGTAGTACCTTCATCTTTCGGATTTCCCATTGTTAATGAATCACCCTGTATAAATAATTCATTATAACACCTTTATTTATAACTTTTATTTCATATATGCATAAGATGTATTTAGCGCTGCTTCAGTTAAACTCACTGAATAATTAGTATGGAAATGATTGTTTCTTTTAAATAAAAGTTGTATATTTGTTATAAAAGTTTTAATATGCGCTGTATACATTATTCTAGACCAGTGGTCGGCAAGTAATTTTAGGTGGGTTCCGGATACTTTTGAAAATTTTTAACAAAGTCCGGAAAAAAATTCATATTTCTTATTTTTATTATAATTTAGATTCAAATTTAATCTGCTTACTAACTATTAAGAACTCAAAACACACACAATTGTAAAATACTAGAAAAAATGATAAGATTGGCACTTAAACGTAAAAAAACATTTTTTAAATAATTTATTTGAGTAATTTATACTTTCAAAAAATTTTTGGCGGTCCAGTATTTTACCTTCCGCGGTCCGGACCTGGACCGCAGTCCGCCAGTTGCCGACCCTTGTTCTAAACTCTAGATTAAACGTTTCTCTAGAATCTAGAGAAACGTTTAATATGCCCATTTCTTTCAGTGTAGGGGTAGGGATATCCCACGTAAAATTGCCACAGATTTTGGAAGTAAAATCAAAAAAGTTTAATTAAATTTATCTCCATCCAAAGTTGCTTCGTTTAGTCGTTAGAGGGTGTCAAAATCGTAAAAGGAATAAATATAAAATAAAAAGAGTTCTTTCCAAATAACTTTAAAGCGTTTTGTCTGATTTAAACGAATTTTTTTATGTTTGATAGTATTTCTATCTAGGTCTAGTTATGAGCTGAGGTGACTAAGCCATTTGCTCTATATAGAAATGTCATTTTATGACGTAGTAATTGTAGTAATTACATTTTCAGAATTTAATGACTAATATCCAGGTGCTTTTAACGATTTTTCCCTATTTTAATATTTTTGCATTTGTAAGTCATAGTAGGTAATACTTTATTTTAAAGGTAGCTTTACACCTATTCAAAAAGTTATACAATTTTCCTAAATTCCTATCAAATGAAACCAAACAATGTTCCTTCACACCAAAAAAGTTTTGGAATTTGTTTGAATTTATTATAAATAAAAGTACAAAAGATGGTAATAAAATATACTTTCTTTTTTATTAATCTTTTTTATTGTCGCTAATGTAATTTGTGTGTATTTCTAACAGCTCTAGGATAATTAATTACTTTAGTAGAGATTACCACCATATTTTCGATATAAATCTGATTTGTCATAAAAAATTTGATTGACAATAATTCTTTTTGAAAACAATGAATAGCTTCAGATTCAGTAATAGTCAATAATAGTAGAATGAGATGAGTGCGATTAATTTTTATGAATAAATCAAATTTCTTATGACAAATCCAATTTATTAAAAAATACGGTGGTAATAATTTATAAAATAATTAAAATTGAAACAGAAACATAAGATAGGGAGAAAAAATATGCATTTGATTAGAGATGGGTATATTCAGGTTTCAGCACTGAAAAATTTGCATATCGGTGCTTGAATTATTCAACTCATACATTTTTTTAATGAAATGTAAATGAAATGTTATCTTGTAAACTGTAGGTAGATAAATTAAATTAGGTGAAGTTCATATATAGTGAATTGCCAAATTTACTGTCAAGTATTTCTGTTACCTTCAAGAATGACATAAAAGTTCACAATTACATGGATTTGAGGCACGCACAATCAACGATGGCAGCTGTAAAAAGATAACCATAAAATTCGGAGAGCTTAATAATTCCGAGGCAATTAGAGAATGTTTACAAATAATTAGCTACCATAATTGTGTTTTCATAATCAACCGTTTCCATTATTTTAATCAACATCTCCGTGTACGCCTCTTCACCTTCATTGGTTTGGAGGTGATCCGCGGGGAAACCCACCATTCTCCATTGGCTGAAGTTGATTAAAACTCAGGTGGCGCGATCGCGGTCGAAAGAGAGAAACCAGTTGCTTTCAGGTAGTGGGTATAGACGTTGCTCTCTCGTGTGTTGGCAATATTGTTTTCTTGAGTTTATTTTTATTTTGGTTTTGGTTTTAAACTGCGGCCCTGGGTGAGTGGTTTTTAAATTTTTAGTGGGTTCGGTGACAAGTGATGTGCCCGTTATTGGTTTATGGTGGTGGTGGTTGTCCTTTACTACTTGGTCTTAAGTACCTCAATAGCAGAGATAGCTCATTTAAAGTATTTGAACATTTATTGAATACACTGTTACGTTATTTTCATAAATTAAATGCTTAATGAGAGATGATTTTCTGACGAAGTTACTTTAATTTTACATTAAGTAGTGCTAATTTGATTAAATACGTTATTCATGATTTTTCACCAAATCTATGAATTAAAAAACTACATAATAACTATTGCAACAATTCCTCATGTAATATCAGAGTGCTCAATTTAAATGCTAATTTTCCGCCAACACAATTTGTAGAAAACACGTTTCAATAAAGCAGATAAAATAGAAATAGAAACAGCTGTTAGGTCGGTACATATGTAAAGTGTTTTGTTACTCTTCCAGCTTACTCAGTTGTCAAATTTAACATGATTTATCGTTCTCCATTTTTTAAATTAATGTATTTTCATCCTTTATGGAATGTTTTCTTTAAAATATTAAATATTTTGTGATTGCTTACTTTATATTATGTGCAAAGCATTATGAAAACCGCTTAATAAATAAAAAATAAATATTTGACGTATGACCAGTATACCTATATCCGAAATTATAAAATGTCTGACATGTGAAAGTAATCATTTTATTTGTTTTTTAATTATAGAACTCTCAGTAAAATATTAATCTGATTTGAAAATATTAAGCGCATATAAATATTTGTATCAAAATATATTTTTTCATGATGTATGATTAATATTGAAACAATACTACAAAGCGAAAAATATAAGGTATTTCCTTGTTATTTCACTCATAAAGTTTCACTCGAATAGCTAGAAACTAAATCTTTTAGGTTTTATATATTATCATTAATTCTTCGTACTTAGAGAAAAAGGCAATATAATGAAAAAGTCAAGTAATAGAGCTGTTAAATGAATTGTCATTTAATTAAATGAATCAATCAATCAGAAGTTATAAAAAATATTTCTAAAGGGTGCATTTTTCTGTTAACTCAAATAAGTGAAGTTTAGGAAACTTAGGCAAAATCTAAAATTTTCACTTTCTCAATCCAATTACTAATCTATCAATGTATTAATTAATAAAATAACTACAATGCTGTCATAATGATAATGGTGTAAGTATACTTATATTTTATCTCAAAAGTAGAAAAAATGTATATGTTATATCATTTAAAAAAACCTTTTTGTGTCTAAATTGTCTTTTGGAAGTTTTTCAAACTGTATATCAATGAAATAACTAATTAAAATGTTATATTTTCCAAATAACTCGAATCAAATTTTCATTCAAATTCATTTTCCAGATTTATTAGTTATAATGTTTATCCAGAAATCCTTCTTTTTGCTAACGTTGATCCCTTAATATAATGAGGTAGCGATTATTCAGAAATAAAATAAGTGAAATGCGTTTCTCACTAATAACGTTCAGGAAAAACAAGATAATGATACAAAAATATATATATCTTTCCCGCTTATTTTAACTATTAAGTTACATTTAAAACATAGCGAGAATTGTTACTTGCGCAGTTACATCCAATATTTGAAATTTAAATATTATAAAATAAATATTAAAGAGAAACCAACCACTGACAAAATAATCCGCACAATTAGGTATTAAAATTGCACATTACAAGAAGTTAATGTTGCGTTTCTTGTGTTGTTTAACAGGCAAAGAGTGACCGGAAGAAAGAGTCATGTTCCATAAAGTTGGTCAATGGGCGTGTTACCCGTAATTAAAATTTACACGAAGAGCAACTATCTGCATTCTGTCTATATACAAATTAAGCACGAGGTATACAATATTTTATTTCTTCTTCAGTATTTCGCCGTTTCACAGAATTTTCTTCATTAACGGAAGTACTCTTGTAAGATTTTGGAATACTGTTGTTTTTTCATGATCAGTACATTTTTATATAATATTTCAAAATAGTTAATACCTATGTACTTTTATTTTTTCATGACTGCATTAATCGAAATGACTTTACAATTTAGAATCTTACGACATGTGTGACATAACTTTTAAAAAAAAATTTATTCTCAACGCGAGATAAGACAAGATCCTTTTTTATTGCTCTAAAATTTGAAACGTTTGAACGGGGAAATATCCACATACAAAAAAGTTAGAGTGAAATATAGCCATAACAGTCACCACCCTAGTTTGGGATATCACTGACGAAAATTTAAAAATGACGGTAACATCCACTTTCAAATTTCATTGATTTATTTTGAAGAATCTTGAAGATCAACTCTCCCCTAATAGGCTCTCAAGAGACATTTTTATCTTATTTTAAGCTGAGGAATGCAGTGGTAATTCCCTTCCTATATATTATTAAATATGCAACGTCTTAAATCAAACTCCTTTAATAAATTATATGTATACAAAAATTATTTGGTTGAGAAGGATTTTGTATTTACATTAAATAAATCGGCATGTTTTGTTTTCATATACTTTTTGTTCATCTAAGCCCGTAGAGATGGTTAATATTTTTATATACTTACTATACTGTAAAAGAATATTTAGTTCTGTTAGGTACATTTATGTTTTCTTTTGTATTTTCTTTGGCTTGATTCGCCTAGTTTTTGTTTTTTATTTAAGGATGTAGTAGGATTTACTAAAAAGGAATTATTGTGATGTAATAGGAAAACGAACGTTAAAATAACGTTTTTCTGCAATCTTTCGGAAATGTGTACTTTTTCGGCCTCTTTTTAGACCCCAAAATACCTTATTCTAGTATTTTAGTTCGTTGCTAAGCAATCATCAGTAAACACTACGGGAAAAGTAAAAATTTCGTCTAAAATAACTCTCATTTGAAACTTCTATATAACAATTTCACAATTTGATGTAACTTAAAATCACATGGATGTGCAATTAATTAAATAGGTCAATTTAACATTTTTTAGCTTGGCTTTACTTTAATTATCTACAACAATTTTGTTTTGTGAAATTTTCCCTATTTTTATAACGTTTAATTGTAACGTTTACGTAATCTATGCACTTATATTAGGTTTCTTTAACGTTTGGTTGAAAATTTGTCTAATTTAAAACATATTTTAACGTTATATCAACCAAAAATTACGATTTTTCTATCATTATGTTCTCACTAGGAATTAATACAATCTACTAAGATTTAAAGTAATGCAATGGGATTAACTAAGAATTTCTGATGACTTAATGAGGATTTTAGGGATTTATTCCAAAAAAAACGATGTAGCCAATGTGTCCCCCTTCGATGGGAGTATGTATTTGGAATTATTTTTATTTACTAATAAATGTACTAGTTTCTTTGCTACGCTTCTTCTGGGATAATTTTTCATAGAGCAGCGTTATACTCACCTAAGTTTTTCCATGGGTTAATGTCTTAGGTATACCTGTGGGTGTTCGACATCTGTAATAGCCAGATCCCCATCGGTAATAGCGGTCTTAGTAGAACCTCCCAAGAAATCGGTGGACGTGTAGGTGAAAAATCATTGATTTATACAACGACACTTAAAATATTAGTAGATAGCGCAGAAGAATGCTGAAAGATATTATATACATTCTTCGAAAAGAGATAAATGCGGCGGGGCAATAATGCGAGAGACAAAAGATCGGGTGCATTTTTAAATCCATCGGATGGTAGAAATGCGATTATGGTGCAGTAAAACTAAAAGCGGCCCAGCGGGCTGCGCCGCAATGTCGCGTTGCTATATTGTCGACTTGAGTTTGTTTGATACGTGCACTTACGCTATCTTAGTTGGCTCTGACTAATGGAGTCTTTATCGAGGTTGGTCGTGGATAAAGCCTGCTCGACCTGACTGCCTAATACTGTCTTTGTTGTTAACACGGGCTTTGTCGTGTCTTTTTTTAATTACATTAATTTTTGTGCTCGAATGCCTGGCATTCCTTTTGCTTTACTTGTTAAGTGTTACTTTGGCGGTTGTTCTTCGAAATTATGTTAATCCATCATCCCATCCTTCCCTTCATCACGCAGGATGTTCCGATTGACGTCCAATGTAAAAACAAAAGTCAATTCTGGCTTAATTAAATATTAGCAAACAATGGCAAAACCAAAATGAGTGCTGCGTGCTCATACTGCCGTTTTTCTAATTCTATAAGTGTCGGAATGGTTCCGTTTAGGGCCCCTCTCTCTAAAAATAATCATCGATCTCTCTGTACCATAACTTGTCCGGATGTATATACAACGTGCCATGGACGCAGTTAACCCGGAATAAAATCGGGAATGGGGAAATACCAGAATGCATAATCTCCATAATCTCCTTCCAAGTAATAAAAAATATGCTATTTAGATTTAGTTAGGCCACTGATCAGTGAGTATCACATATGTCATGTACAGATATCGTTGATAAAAGCTCAGATTGTGACTAGTGTTAACTTAACACCGTTTTTGGGCTTAACACTGTTATTGGCCCAAAAACGGTGCCAATGAGGGTGACCAAACCGTAGAACACTGCTCTGTCATAGCTCGTTTCTGATTAGTGTTACTGACATTATATCGGAAATGATTAAAATTCGCAACAAAAGAAGTTCGAATAATTTCATAAGCAAATTATATTAATTGACAACAATTTCAATTCGAATAGGAAATAATAAATACATTTCTATTTATTTCGATTCAAAATTACATTTTAAACACTTCCATCTGCTTAAATCAAAATTTATTTTGTTAAAGTCAAATTTGATAATCAATTTTATCCATCGGAAGTATTATTATATTATGTCCCCAATTTTATTATATTGATGGTAAATTTGATTTTGTTCGGTTTCAAAAGGTCTCCAAAATCCCATGTTGTAATAATATTATTTCTCCCTTTCGCAATTGTAACATCAATGATTAATAGAAGGTGCCTATAATAAATTAAAATTACCTGAATCACACTAAATTCCGCATTGCTGCACTGCACTGCTGGGCAATTTGTCAACCACTTATCAAC